ACCCTGTCTCAAGCAAGCGACACCCCATAAAACTGCTCTTGTTCTGTATCCCATGACGACACCCCATAAAACTGCTCCTGTTCTGTATCCCATGACTCTCCTCTGCTTGTTTGTGGGTGAGAAGGTAGAATGAACGATGAATAATGTCCATTTTAAGTAAGTTTTTTGCTGAGATACTCATTGATAACAAAGTCAGTTTTTCTATCATTTTAACATAGGAGAATTATATTTACTATAGAACCTGGCCATATGAGCCCAAGTCAGTTCCCATTATAGAACCACACCGAACTGAGCACGCTTTGTGACATTTAGTGGGAATCTCCAGCTGCAGCCCAGACTGCTGAGCACATATTGGCTGTTTCTGCCTTGTCAAGAGAAAACCGGCCTGGACTGGGTCCAGCCTGGACTGGGTTAGACGGAAGCAGCCTAGAACTTGGGTACCCCTCCTGTCTCTGCCTCCCAGACACTGAGATTACGGGTGGGATTTGCCTGGCTGGACCACTGAAGCTTCAACATCTCCAAGAGCTCACTTGGCTTCTCCTTAGGAATATGGAAGGAGAACACTTGACGGCTTTATTTCCCTCCACAACCCAGTTTCTCCCACCCAGAAAAACTCCTCAGCCTCTTCCCACTGCCCACCTCTTCCCACGCTCTTTTATATATTCTTTTACCGTTTATTTATGTGTGTGCCACTCATGTGTATAGGCCAACATCTTGCGGGAGTCAGCCCTTTCCCCCCATCACGCTGCTCTCTCTGGGACTCTAACTTAGGTCAGGCTCGGTGGCAAGTTTGCCAGTCCTCTTGCTACCATTTCTAGGTCAAGAATTGAGGCTTTTTTTTCCCCACTTTTTTTTTCTTTTTTAATAAATGCACAGATTGAGAGACTTCTGGTATATGTGATAGTCTAGTATGTGCTTACACTGTTAATTGTGACGTCAGGAGGGCGTAGGTCTACCATCTCATTTTTGTGTGTGCTGAGAACACTGAAGAGCTCAGCACGTCCCCAGTGAAGACTGACCCAGCTAGAACTGACCTTTCCTTACGGGAAGTTGAAGCTCTCCTGTTTTCACTGCAGATTTATCCTTCCACATTCTGGAGAGAATTCAAGTGAATTCCCAGAAGTTTTTCAGTTTTAGTGGTTAAGCAGGGCTAAGTAGAGCACACTTGTAATCTCAGAGTCTGAAGCAGAGGCAGGAGGGCGTTCAAGTTCTAGGCCACTTCCGTCTATAGTTCAGGCCGGGACTGCATCATGAGACCCTGTCTCTAAAACACCAGCAACAAAATGTGGTTAAACTTTCTCTCTCTGTCTCTCTCTCTGTCTCTCTCTCTCTCTCTCTCTCTCTCTCTCTCTCTCACACACACACACACACACACACACACACCCTGAAAATGCAGGTTAAGCAGTAGGACATTTTTTTTTTTATAAAATACTGTTAAATTTAAATCACTACGGCTTTCACACCCTATAAAAGTCAAGTTCTCTTAAAAAAAAAAACAGTCTGAGCTAGGTGTGGAGGTACATGCTTATAACCCAGCAGTTGGGGTGTGGAGCTGGGAGGATGGGGGTTTAAATCATCTTCGGCTATGCAGTGGGTTCTATTCCGAGGCCAGCCTGCACTTCATAAGACCCTGTATCGAACAAACTCACCTGCAACATAAAAACAAGAACGACCACAGGCAGTTTGAAGGTTGCTTTTATAGTTCAGTATTCGGGAAAAGCTGCCCATTATCCTGTTCTGACTGTTGAGTGTTTCCTTGCTTTGTTGCTGTCCTCTCAGGACTCAGGGAGACCCAGTCCGCATCAGGCACTCACATTCTCCCCGGAGCTACCGGCAGTACCGCAGGTCCCAGTGTTCAGACGGAGAGCGGTCGGTTCTCTCGGAAGTGAAGTAAGTGGCCAGTCTCAAGGCTCCACACAGCAGCCCGCAGAGCTCTCCGCATGGCAGAGCTCAGCATCCGAGGTCTGTCCTGTTCACCAGTTCTGACACTTTCTTTTTGGCAGCTCGAAAACAGACCTTGTGCCACCACTTCCAGTGACCCGGTCCTCAGACGCTCAGGGGTCTGGTGGCTCTACCGTGCATCAGGTTAGTGAGGTTTTAAGGTGTCCCACTGATGACTGTAAAAATAGGCATTTTATTTAGTGTGCATGATGTATGTGGGCATGGTCTGTGTGTGGTCAGAGAATTTCTTTGAGGATGTTTTACATGGGGTTTGAACTCAGGTTATGAGGGTTGAACTGCCCTGGCTTTTACCCATTGAGCCATCTTGCCAGCCCAACACATTTTTTTTTTTTTTTTTGGTTTTTTGATACAGGGTTTCTCTGTAGCTTTGGAGCCTGTCCTGGAACTAGCTCTTGTAGACCAGGCTGGCCTTGAACTCACAGAGATCTTCCTGTCTCTGCCTCCTGAGTGCTGGGATTAAAGGCCTGCGCCACCACCGCCCGGCACTTTAACATTCTTTAACTTTTATTTGCTTGTCTGTTTATTTGTGAGGCGGGGTCTCACAGTGTAGCCCTCTCTGACCTGGAACTCTGTAGACCAGACTGGCCTCAAATCCCAGCATCTGCCTGCCTCTGCCTCCCGAGTGCTGGGGTCAGAAGTGTGCACAGGCAGGGGAAGCAACTGAGAATTTTGAGAAACAGCCTGTGCTTTCAGAATTCCTTTGGATATATTAGCAGTGAGTCTTTAACTCCATTCTCATTTTTTGCTTACCAAAAAAACCACATGCAAAATCCTAAAGCAGACAGATGTGTCCAAAAACCATGGATGGGCACAGCCCCGAAAGAGCTGCTAGGAATGAGAAGAGGTAGTGCAGGAAGATCCCGAACAGCTGGGCACGGGGAGGGTAAGATCGCGATCACACGGAGCTAGGAGGAGAATAACTGCTTCACTGATTTAAATAGTGGGGAGGGGCGGGGGGGGCTTTAAGGTATTTTTCCAAGCTGGAGAAATAGTGATGGGCACAGATGCTCTGTTAATGGATGCCAGACAGAACTAGGTCCTGTTGTAGCTGACCTCCACAGCAAAGGGAATACCATCCGGGAGGTGTTTGTACCTAGGATTGAAAGAGAAGCCACAGCCATTCAGTCATCCCTGAGGCAGGGGCAGAGCTGTGGAAGCACTGTTGGTGGCATCTTGGGTTTCCATCTGACCTAATTAGCGGGTTGTATACAAGTCCCGACACAGGAAGAGCTGGTATGATGTCCAGGCTCAGGTAGGCAGTTAGCCTCTCTTGATAATACAGATTTATCTTCAAGGCTCCTCACTCTAGTTGACAGTGACACTGAGTTCCAGAAGACAGGGAACTCTAAGCTACAGTTACACTGTACAGTAACTGTCTCATAGTGTGAGAGGCCTTGCTGTCTCTGGCCTTGCTCAGAAAAGCAAGCCTCCTTAAGGAAGTCTTTAAATAATGAATATAACCGATGTGTACTGAATCTTGTCAGACCGAGAGTAAACACATTTGATTTTGTAGTTAACTAGTGGAAACTTTAAAAACAGTATAATAGACTTTTCCTTGCAATGCCATAAATGAATAACTTTAAGGTGGCCACACTATGTAGCCCTTGCTCTCTTCCTGGGATTATCCAAATGTGACCTCTATGCCCAGCTCCTGGTGTATTTCTAATAGTACTTAACCTGATTATTTTCTTCTGCCATCAATTGTTTTTCTAGAGAAGAAATGGCTCTAAAGACAGCCTGATTGAAGAAAAATCTCAGCTGTCTACAATCAACCTGGCTGGAAAGCATACAGCAAAAACAATAAAAACTGTCCAGGCTGCCCGCCTCAAGACAGAGACTTGACCTGGTTAAGGGACAAAGGGTGGGATGGAAATCCCTGTGCCAGTGGCACTTCTGAAACTGTGAACTAGAGAACTATCCACAATCGTGGGCACGTCTTTAGCGAAAGAAAATGAGCATTTAAGGGTTCATGCACAGCCTTCTTGTGCTGCGGAGCCTTTTGACTGGAAGGACCCTATGGACTCACTGGATGCCAGTCTTCCCTGGAACCCATCCAACTCTCTCTTCACCCCAGCCAGAACCTACACTTCTCATGAAGCCTTTGGAATCCTGGTCTGCAGACTGTTGACTTTTATTCCCATAAAGCTGTTTGTATTATTGTATTTTGTGGCATTAAGTCCCAATGGTTATTTACAAATATTGTAAAAACTGTTAAGTGTTGATTTGAATTTAAGTGTCTTTGTCTTGTGTTTTCTGAGGGGAAAAAAAGCCTGTTTGGACCTTCCTTCCTTCCCCAACACAGCTTTTCCCTTGCAGGACATTTCAAGGCTCCTTGCAATCCTGTTCCCTTGACTTAAGCCTCTTCACATTAATGCAGGGTCTCATCTGCCTCTAGTAGCCATTCAGTCACCACAGCCCAGTAGTTCATTCAACTCTGCTAAGCTGTCCCTTTGAGGACTATATTCAGCATCCTTATGTCCATCACAACCCCTTGAGGCAGACAGCTCAGCGATACAGTGCTTGCCAAATTGTCCCCAACACTGGAATCTCAACTGAAGCCTTTATTTCCACAAAAAAATAAATCTAAGAATTCCTTTCCAATTAATATCTGATGTCTCAACGCTCTTTTCTCTGCTGTAATTCTGTGTCTACAGGACATCCTTTGCAGCCCATCTCCCTGGAACCACCCTCTTGCTTTCTTTCTTGCTGACACTCCCAGCTCTAAAACCAGAACAGAGGAAGAACAGCCAACAACACATGCTGTTCTCCCAACTTTGCTTTGCAGTGGCACCCACCCCCACCAACTGCTTCCTCAGGTTTCCCACTCTGTCAAACCGTGGATTCATCTCACAAAGCGAGCTTTCCACCCATGACCTTCCAGTCCAGCTCCAAGGGGGGGGGGAGTGTTTTAAGTACTCAATAGGATGACCAATCTGTACTTACTTGTTAAGCCAAGGGAAGTTAAATGTCAACCCAAGCATAAATCTAACTACCAGTTTAGCTGTTACATAGAAAGCCAGGCATTTAGCACACAAGTCTCAGAGCAGCATATTAAATATTTATTCATAGCTTTGTTACAAAAATGTGCCCTTACACAGCTCTTAGAAAATTCAAGTCATCCATGTTTCTGAAGATCACATTTCCAAACGATCAAGGACACCCTAAAGGAAAAAAAACAAGACCACTTTACTCATTTGTCCTAAGTATTTTGTCATATAAATCCCCATCAATCTCTTTTTAAAATATTCATTACGTATACAAAGTTCTGCCTGCATGTATGCCTGAAGGCACCAGACCTCATTACAGAGGGTTGTGAGCCACCACGTGGTTGCTGGGAATTGAACTCAGGACCTTTGGAAGAGCAGGTCTTAACCGCTGAGCCATCTCTCCAGCCCAATCCCCACCAATCTTTAGCATTAGTAAAACTCCCCCAAGCTGTGACACACAAACTTTTCTAGCTGATGCACAGATGAGAAGAGATTCACAAAGCCATCGCAACGTGCATTCACTTCTGTTCAATACTACGTATTCAGAAAATACAGCTCAACGCCCAGAAAAGTGAGCCAATGCAGAGGCTATCTTCTCTGCAGCTGCCTTCTGGCCTATCCTCAGGTAAGCAGTAGCAATGCAAATGAACCAATTAAGACTACTGAGTCGGACGGCACCCCAGCTCAGAAACCCCCACCCTTGTGCCTTCCTACCTTGAGCCACCTTGGCGCTCCCGTGTGTCGTTCCGCAAGTGTCGGTCAGCTTCAAACACCTACCTGCCAAATGGGTAAAGAACCAGTCAAACCACACTGCCGGCCTTGGGCGGCCCATTCACCCCGCCCCCACACAAGTTAGGGTAGATTTTGTTACTTAAGCAGTTCCTTTACCCAAGATACCAAACTCCGGGGTAAGAAAAGCTTGCCAAGCATTAATTTATGCCTTTTTTGACACCACATTCACTAGTGATCAAAGGTGAACGGGCAACACAAAGGCTACATCAGAGCCTCAGGCCGGCTCTACCCTGACTGCAAGCCTGGAAAGCGGTACTCGATCTCACCTCTCGACTCCGATCGCCACTCCACTCTCGCCCAGGGGTGCGGCTGGGCAGACGGCGAAGATCCACATCACAGACGGCGCTCGGCTCACACCGACCCATTTCCCATGGGGTCCGGCGGGCCGTGCTCCTCACACCGCCACCGTCTCCGCGCCGTCTTCCCACTTGCCGGGAAGGGATCGCAGCGGCCCAAAGCCGCCGCGGACACTTCGGATTCCCAAGCCATAACCACCCGCCAGGCCAAAGCCACCAGCACCGCCGTGCTGCGCGCCACGTGAGAGCGGAGAAAGGACGCGCAGCGATCCCACAATGCTTTTCTACGGCCGGAAGAGCCCACTGTCCCCGGAAGGGGGGGAGGGTGGACTGTACCATGGCTACTGCGCGCTCGCCTGCCACCGTGTGGCCGGAGGGTGAAGTGCACCGCGGGAGACTGTGGCGCGGGTTTCCTAGAAAGAGGGCGCAGGAGCCCGGCGCTCACCCGGTCGCTTTGTTCCTATGGGACCGGTTCTGTCCCGCACCCCACCCCGCAAGTAGAATAATAAGGAGATTTTGTTACTTGTGTCTCCAGCTCCCTTTCTTTCCAGGGCCCAGGGCATTTGGTCAGTGAGGAGCAGCGGGCGTAGTGCTGGAGGAACCTAGAGCTGGGGGACGCCGGACGTTGCTCCTCCTCCAGATAAGGAACAGTAAGGTCGAACACATAAAAAGCTAAACCAAAACCAGTAGCAATTCCATACGTGCTCCAGGTTCTGAAATGTCTGGGAATCGTGATGTGAATGCCCTGTCTTGCAGTCTATTGTTGGATGATCGACAAACAAACAGCATTGAGAGCCAGGAAGCGAGGGGGTGACGCCCGGCGCCTGTACTACCAGGCAGTTGAGGGAGGAGGGTCAGGAGTTCACGGTCAGCCTGTGCTATTTAGTGACATCCAGGCCAACCTGGGCTACGTAAGCCCAGTTTCAAAACAAAAGACCAATCCACACCAAGTCAAGAAAGCCGGGTTGTGGTGCACGCCTTTAATCTCAGCAGTTGCAGGTAGAAGCAGGAAGATCGCTGTGAGTTCGAGGTTAACCTGGTTTATACTCACTTAATTCCAGGTCAGCCAGGGCTTTATAAGTGAAACCTTGGCTGGGGAAAACGAAACAACAAAACAAGCATTGTTCAATAGAAACACAGTGAGGATAACAATAGTAAATTTAAATTCTCATATTACCAAATCACAATGTTTCAAAACATAAAACATTTCAAATAATAACCCAATATTCATAAAATATAATCCAGAGAAAATTTTAATAAAGTGCTTTGATCTTTTAAAATTCCTTCAAATGCTTAAAAATCACATAAAATGTCAAAAAAATCAGCAAATTTCAGTTCAGAAAAGGGTCATTGTATGTGCCTGGTAGGCAGATGGTGGTAGTTCTAGGGAGGCTGCAGGTGAATTTTGTAAGATCTGGGTGTTCTTAATTTCTGCGGGTTGTTCTTAATTCCTGCGGGTTAGACGAGGGTTACGCTAGAAAAGACACAGACACGTGGCGGTACCACGTGGTACACTTTTTAATGGGAGGGGAAAACACACTAGGAAAAGTGAAAGGAAGGGACAAGGGAAAGGGATAAGAAGGGCCGAACTTGTGGCTTGTCCTTGCTTTTAACAGAGGATGCAAAGGCTTCTGGGAAATGTGTCCCGCGCTTGCCGTGCGCTGGAGTCCAGAGGGATGTTGGGAGTTGTAGTGTTGCAAGGGAACAACACTGGGGGTACCAGAATGTGGTCTGCGTGACTGGAACGGATGGAGGGGTGCGCTGGGGAGATGCAGGCAAAAACAAGTCCTATAGGGCTGGTTCCTGAGGTAAGGCCCTGGACTTCACGATGAAATTTTAGAGTATTTTCTCCTCGGAAATAAAGCAGAGGTTCTGAACTGGCCACCTCGCACCCAAACCGTTACTGCTTGCAGAGAGAGGTTGGGCGTTGAGACGAGCTGCATGGTGCAATGAGGATTCTCTTTAAGTAAGTTCTGTGTCTCCTATCCTCCCTCCCTCTCCTCCCCCTCCCTTCTTCCTCCACTCCTTCTTTCCACTCTGTCTTCACACCTTGCAACAGGGTCTTGCTATGTAGCCCAGGCTGGCTTTGAACTCACAGGGATACCCTGCTTCAGTTTCCTGGAGTACCGTGATTACAGCCTTCACCACCATGCCTGGCTTTTCAAATGAATGAATGTCAATTCATTTAATGCATGCATTAAAACTTGGAACATCCGAGCTACTTTTCCTAAGTAGTTTGAAAAGGAAGAGAAGAAGAGAAGGCCCTAGATCAGTTATCTTCACTCTAGAACTTCTCTAAGAACCAATGTGTCTGGGGCAAGACCACAGACATGAAATGTGAACTCCTGACCCACTCTGAGAAGCCACTGTGACACAGAAAGGTCGGATCAGGGAGACCAGTACCATCACAATTGTCATTTAGACACTGACTGTAAGCTGGGCGGTGGTGGTACAGGCCTTTTATTCCAGCACTAGGGAGGCAGAGGCAGAACTCTGAGTTTGAGGCCAGCCTGGTCTACAAGAGCTAGTTCCAGGACAGGCTCCAAGGCTATAGAGAAATCCTGTTTTGAAAAAAAAAAATGAAAAAAAAGGAAAAAAGACACCCCCCCCTCCAAAAAAAGACACTGATGGTACAATATGGGAATCGTGACAGATTTTAGTCTTGCTTTGTTGCTAGGCAGAAGGAGAGTGAGGACATTTCCTGGTGTTGGGCCAATAGCAGGCCTAGGTTTCCATCTAGCTCTGACACTTGTTCCCCTGGGTTATTGGCTGTTGGGAGCAGTGAGACCCCAGATCCTGAATTTCTTGTAATTCCCTTATCTGAGTGCCTACAGCTGCTCTGAGCACGAGACCTTCAGGAGTTCCTGATGGCAGGAGAGTGGTTTCTGGTGGCTGGGGTTTGGCTGGGGCGTGGCTATCTCTATCTAAGCGGCCCCTGAACACAATAAAGGGGCATTCTTGGGGCATTCAAGGATGACCCGTGTCGCTGTCTGTCTGTGTGCATCTGTGTATTTTAACCTCCAGCCCCCTTGCCCGAAGCTCACGAACTGGGTGCCAGCGCACAGAGTGCAGACACGGGGGCGCGGTGTGTGGCAATTGGCCACCATTCAGAGCCCGAATTTCCTCATTTACAGGTACCAGCCATTTATAGATGTATACTCTATATGTATATATGGTACCTATTCCAGCTATGAATGTACACACATGAGCGTGAGTTAAAGAGGGCTGTGGAGTGCACGTGCTGTATGTGGTGTATATGTCTAATAAAGGACTCCAGTGAACTCAGATTTCCCTCTCTACCCCGAGCGACTATTGGAGCTTCCTGGATTAAGATCTCAGAAGGGGGGACGGCTGCCAGTTTTCTTCCCATGGCTTCCCATTTTCCCGCTTCCTCCCCCTAAACTCTGGAGAGTACCAGGAGAGGTGGAGGAACAGCACAAGCATCCACACTAGGTTGTCGGTAGGTGTCCAGATGCCATTTCCAAATTCTTCATCTTTCTGACGACTTCAACTGCACACACAGCCTGGTAGGGCAAGCCCAGGGATTAAGTCCAGGCAAGAAGAAGCTGGGGAGGTAGAGACAGGTGGATCTCTGTGAGTTCAAGGCCAGCCTGGACTACGGAGGGAGCTCCAGGACAGGCTCCAAAGCTGTAGAGAAACCCTGTCTCGAAAAACCACACACATACACACGAAAAAAAAAAAAAAAAGAAAAGGAAAGAAAAAATAAAAAAAAAAGGACACCTCAAGGAGATAGGAGCGTTTGTAATCACCTCGACCCCTGGAGCTGGGGCACCATGTAAGGACACAGCCACATGCAGCATTAATTACAGCAGAACAACTCCAGTTTCCCTGTGTGGTAGGCAGGACAGTCCTCCAAGATGTCTGCACTCCTGTTCATAGGCCTTACAGCTGGGGCGGGGGCGGGGCTACCAGCTGCTCTCCCTTCTGAAGCTGTGAGAACTGGGTCCTCAGGAAGGGGCTTCCAGGTCAGTCCCAGCTCACCTCCTGTGTCCTGTGTCCAAAGCCTGTGGCGTCTTCAGCAATAGGGACTCACTGTCGACCTCTGGGAGGCACCAAAGGCTTGGGAGTCCCACCTGTCCCTCTGACCGACAGAGGGGAGGTTCAGCCTGCCAGGTACTGGGATTTGCTAGAGGTGCCTCACTCTTGGGGTGAGCACCGTCGCTCCATGTGGACATCCCAGTATGCATGTGTGCACACATATATGCATTTGAACGTAAGCTTATAAAGCAACGCATCCTAATGTCTTCTTTCAAATACCTCAGTGCTATTTACCCCACCCCCACTGTACTTCCTCCGGCTCCTCAGCTAAGGTCCCCATTTTCCAACGCCTCCTTCTTAGCACCTACCTCCTACCAATTGGGATCTTAGAATGTCTTAATGCAAGTGTTTCAAGTCAGCAGAGGCAGTGTTGTGGGTGTCCACCAGAGAAGACTGCTCATACTTGGGTTTAATTAACAGAAGGTCGGAGACTACATTGGGTGCTGGGGATCCCAGTATAGCCCCGAGCCTTGCTTAGGGTGATTTATAAGTACAAAAGCCGTGTCCTGGGTTGACATATTCAGTTAGCAAAGACAGTCAGACAGAAGCGGAACTACAGAAGCCTAAAAACAAGGTTAGAATATTTAGAGATTTCCCCAGAGCTAAGGGCTTTGATGGATGAGGTCTTTGTCTTTATTTTGGCAGGTGGTGCTGTCTACGTGCTGAGTTTTATGCCCTGAATGGTCCTTACTTCCATCATGGAGACAGTTAGTTTGGGGGCCTACTAAGGCCTGGGGTTCTGTTTCATTGGGAGGGTTTATCTTCAGTATTTTGCCATTACACGAGTTACTCGTTTTTTTTTTTTTTTATTTGAAGAAAACAAATTAGCTGCATCAACTTGGTTATTTGGTTAACATTAATTTCGTTAACAAAAATGAGAAGAAATATGAAATGGTAGAAAGGCCAAGTAAAACATTTGTTGGGTAGCAGAGAGGTTACAGGAAACTTAAAAACCAACCGCTGTGTTATTTTCCTATTTTTGTGACAGAATGCTCACCAAAACAGCTGGAAGGTGGAACTATGAAAATTTTAGTTAATTTATATGGACACCCTTTATATTTTCAGTAAAAATTCTGGCGCAAAATTTAAAATACTGCTCTCCTAGCTTCTGTTTTTTTTTTTAAAGCAATCTTTTTTTAATTTTACATACCAATCCTAGTTCCCTCTCCCTCTCCCTCCTCCCTTCTCTCCCCACATTTAT